GGCAAAACCAAGAAATAGAGAAGAACTGTGGAATGTCATCCAATCATCCTGGGCTGGAATACCTGATCACAGGGGCCAGAAGTTGGGTGACTCCATGCAACACAGATGTACAGCAGTTCTCAGAAACAGTGCGACTACAACCAAATATTCATGAAGTCATTCAAAGGAAAGCAAAATCTTCAAACATTTTTCAGTTTATATAGTGAATGTTTTGAGTTTGTAAAGAAGAATACAAACACTGCAATCTTTTTTGAACTGTCTAATATTCACTTTTCTTCAATTTTTTATTTAGAGGAACAATACAAATTTGATGTATTTTTCTTCATGCTTTGATTTGGAATAGAATGTGTCGTGTTCCCAATGCATTTATGTGGATGGAAATAAAAGCTATTAGAAGGATTTTCAGCTTTATTCACTTTTTTCAACACACTGCTATTATTTTGAACACAACTGTAAATGGCTAAAACACACAATGTGACGGTCCGCTCTCCACCTCCAACTGAAGACAGGATGAAAAAGACAGCGGATGCGTTTCGGGGGACCCAATCCCCTTCCTCAGAGCTATGGCTGATGTCTCCCAGACCTCAACCTCCTTAAATAGACAGCATCAATTGATTTGACAACCCACCTACCATCAGTTGGTGGGAAAAAAAAAAGGGGAGAAGGGAATTTTTTTGAAAGAGACATCGCCTTCTGACTATATAAACATAAAATCAACGGCACATGATATACAGTCCACCACGTACAATCAAAATATTTGCAAAGGATGCATAGATAAAAAATGATATCAATGGTTGTAGTAAAAATGATCCGATAGCAAAGAGAGAAATCACCATTGTAGGCCCAACGCACTATAGTCACTCATCAGTCCTCTCCTCCATGTGACATATGTATAGACCTCCAATACCCTTCACTTACCCTCTATGGGGAGTATGTAATTATGCTAGTAGCGAAATATTACCTCTACAGCTGGTATCCAGGATGAAGATATAAGAAATTGTATGAATTCACCAGACACCTACGTTACAAGCTGGCCGACATCCCACACTGGTGTGCTTCCAGGTCCTGAAACACATGCCAGCTTGTCCCTGGAGCGTACCTGCCAGCAGTGGAGGTTCAGGACCACCTGACTGAAAGAGACAAAAGGATATTGCGCAGGATTGTGACCCAGAATAAGAAAACAACTACTACAAAAGTGACTGCAGAGCTCAATCTCAGTCTTCACGGGACTGAGATTGAGACCATCTACTGAATACATGGCAGCCATTGCTATCCACTGCAGATTGCTTTTCAGAGGTGCAATAGAGTGCACCTCGTGTAACATCATGTACCCTAAAATTTTTTACTGTGGATTTTTTTTTTTTTTACAGAAAATTTGTTTTTAAAGTGCCTTGAAAAAAGTTTTCATACCCCTTGAAATTTCCCACATTTTGTCATGTTACAAACAAAAACGTCAATGTACTTTATTGGGATTTGATATGATAGACCAACACAAAGTGTCACATAATTGTGAAGCGTAAAGAAAATGAGAAATGGTTTTCAACATTTTTTACAAATAAATCTGTAAAAAAGTGTGGCGTGCATTTGTGTTCAGCCCCCCCCGGAGTCAATACTGTGTAGGACCCCCTTTCGCTGCAATTCCAGCTGTAAGTCTTTTTGGGGATGTCTCTCCTAGCTTTGCACATCTAGAGAGGGACATTTCTGCCCATTCTTCTTTGCAAAATCGCTCCAGCTGTCAGATTGGATGGAGAGCATCTGGGAACAGCAATTTTCAGGTCTGGCCACAGATTCTCCATTGGATTTCGGTCTGGACTTTGACATTCTAACACATGAATATGCTTTGATCTAAACCGTTCCATTTGTAGTTCTGGCTGGATGTTTCGGGTCGTTGTCCTGCTGGAAGGTGAACCTCCGCCCCGGTCTCCAGTCTTTTGCAGATTCTAACAGGTTTTCTTCTAAGATTGCTCTGTATTTGGCTCCATCCATCTTCCCATCAACTCTGACCAGCTTCCCTTCCCCTGAGGAAGAAAAGCATCCCCACCATGTTTCATGGTGGGGGTGGTCTGTTCAGGGTGATGTGCAGTGTTAGTTTTCCGCCACACATTGTGTTTTGCTTTTAGGCCAAAAAGTTAAATTTTGGTCTCCTCTGACCAGAGCCCCTTCTTCCACGTTTGCTGTGTCCCCCACATGGCTTCTCGCAAACTGCAAAAGGGACTTCTTATGGCTTTCTTTCAACAATGGCTTTCTTCTTGCCGCTCTTCCATAAAGGCCAGATTTGTGGAGTGCACAACTAATCGTTGTCCTGTGGACAGATTCTCCCACCTGAGCTGTGGCCATAAAAAACATCCACTTTGCTTGGCGTGAGGATCCGCCTGTCACCATGAATGGGGTTTGGAAGAATCTTTGCCCGCAGTTTCTTCATGAACTTGAGAAGATGGTAAGGAGTTCAAAGAGGCCTTCAACAACCTAGTGACCCTTAGCATGGAGCTGGATCTGCAAGAGGACGACTTCATTGAACTCCTTGCTGTGCAACACAAGGAGCTTGTTAATGAGGACCTGATGGAATTAGAGGCCAGCAAAAAGACGAAGAGAGCCAAGAGGAAGATGTAACTGAAGAACCAAAGAGATTCACAACACAGGAAACGGCAAGGGGATTTTCTTTACTTGAAGAGGCACTGTTAGTTTTGAGGCACAGGAGCCCAGCGTTGAACGATACATGAGGTTGCAGCAGCCGTTCAGAATGCCATCCAGTGCTACAGTCATCTATGATGAGAAAAAAAGAACTACTACTCAGACATTACTGGATCGTTTTTTTCAAAGATAGACAGAACTGAATCCATCAAGAAACCTGTGTCATCAACATCAGGTGTGGGCCAACTTCCATCTTGCCCTCCATCTCCTATTGGGGAGGACAGGTCCTGTATATAGATCAGGGTCACTGGGGAGAACAGGTCCTGTATATCGATAGGGGTGATTGGGGAGGACAGGTCCTGTATATCGATCGGGGTGATTGGGGGAGGACAGGTCCTGTATATCGATCGGGGTGATTGGGGGGAGGACAGGTCCTGTATATAGATCGGGGTGATTGGGGGGAGGACAGGTCCTGTATATAGATCGGGGTGATTGGGGGGAGGACAGGTCCTGTATATAGATCGGGGTGATTGGGGGGAGGACAGGTCCTGTATATAGATCGGGGTGATTGGGGGGAGGACAGGTCCTGTATATAGATCGGGGTGATTGGGGGGAGGACAGGTCCTGTATATAGATCGGGGTGATTGGGGGGAGGACAGGTCCTGTATATAGAATCGGGGTGATTGGGGGGGGGGGGACAGGTCCTGTATATAGATCGGGGTGATTGGGGGAGGACAGGTCCTGTATATAGATCGGGGTGATTGGGGAGGACAGGTCCTGTATATAGATCGGGGTGATTGGGGGGGGGAGGACAGGTCCTGTATATAGATCGGGGTGATTGGGGAGGACAGGTCCTGTATATAGATCGCGGTCATTGGGGGGGACAGATCGTATTTATTGATCATAGTGATTGAGGGAGGAAAGGTCCTGTATATTGATTGGGGTGATTGGGGGAGGAAAGGTCCTGTATATTGATTGGGGTGATTGGGGGGTGATATTGGGGGAGGACAGGTCCTGTATATTGATCGGGGTGATTGGGGGAGGACAGGTCCTGTATATTGATTGGGGGTGATTGGGGAGGACAGGCCCCATATATTGATTGGGGAGGACAGATCCTGTGTATTGATCAGGGCGATTGGGGAGGACAGGTCCTGTGTATTGATCAGGGTGATTGGGGGAGGACAGGTCCTGTATATTGATTTGGGGAGGACAGGTCCTGTGTATTGATTGGGGGAGGACAGGTCCTGTGTATTGATCAGGGTGATTGGGAGAGGACAGGCCCTGTATATTGATTGGGGGAGGACAGGTCCTGTGTATTGACTGGGGGAGGACAGGTCCTGTATATTGATCAGGGTGATTGGGGGAGGACAGGTCCTGTGTATTGATTGGGGAAGGACAGGTCCTGTATATTGATCAGAGTGATTGGGGGGAGGACAGGTCCTGTGTATTGATTGGGGAAGGACAGGTCCTGTATATTGATCAGGGTGATTGGGGGAGGACAGGTCCTGTGTATTGATTGAGGAAGGACAGGTCCTGTGTACTGATCGGGGGAGGACAGGTCCCGTATATTGATCAGGGTGATCGGGGGAGGACAGGTCTTGTATATTGATTGGGGGGGGTGGACAGGTCCTGTGTATTAATCAGGGAGGACAGGTCCTGTATATTGATCAGGGTGATTGGAGGAAAGTTTCTGAATACTGATTGAGGGAGGACAGGTCCTGTAACTTGATTGGGGTGACTGGAGCAGGACATGTGCTGTATATCGATTGATTGGTGGGGAGGTCAGGTCCTGCATATCGATCAGGATGATTGGGCGAGAACAGGTCCTGTGTATCGATCGGGGTGATTGGGGGAGGACAGGTCCTGGGTATCGCTCAGGGGAGGACAGGTCCTGGGCATCGATCAGGGGAGGACAGGTCCTGTGTATCGATCAGGGGGGTGATTGGGGGGGGGGAGGACAGGTCCTGTGTATCGATCGGGGTGATTGGGGGATGACAGGTCCTCTCGGGGTGCCCGGACCGCACACAGGCCTACCCCTCACATGGCGCTCATGCTGCTTCCATTCCGGCTGGAAGTTTCTGAAGCCCGGCACGACCCCCGTGAGTCATCCCCCCTCCCCCCCCTCACGATCTCGGCCTTTCACGACTACCTGACGCCCCCGGACTACAGAGCCGCCCACGTGTGCGCCAAAGAGCGGCTGGCCCCGCCCCCACAAGGCTTTCCCCTGGACGCGCTGATTGGCAGCGGGGTGGGGCCTGTAGCCCGGGCTCGGAGATGCCCGCGCTCGGATTGGCTGGCGCGCTCCGTACAGTAAGCCGTGTGCCTGCTCCAGGCCGGACATCCAGCGTTGCCCGCCGCCCCGATCCCGCATGGAGGAAGTCAGCCGAGTGCCGCTGGCCGGCTGGGCCGCCGCCGCTACCGGAGCCACCGGGCTCACTGGACTGCTGCTTTACCGGCTGCTCCGGGGGTGAGTGTGGGGGAGGGGAGAGCCCTTTGTTATTGCTGGAGGAGGGGAGTGACCGCTGGAGAGCCGCTGTCACCATCGGGGCCGAGGAGGGGATTGGAGGGAAGACGGTCTATGGGGATCCTGAAGTAATGGGGGGGGGGGGGCGTATGGTGGTTCTGAGGTACTGGAGGGGTCGTATGGTGGTCCTGAGGTACTGGGGGGGACGTATGGTGGTCCTGAGGTACTGGAGGGGACGTATGGTGGTCCTGAGGTACTGCCGGTGGGGGGGGGGGGGACGTATGGTGGTCCTGAGGTACTGGGGGGGGGGGGGACGTATGGGGGTCCTGAGGTACTGGGGGGGGACGTATGGGGGTCCTGAGGTACTGGGGGGGACGTATGGTGGTCCTGAGGTACTGGGGGGGGGGACGTATGGTGGTCCTGAGGTACTGGGGGGGGGATGTATGGTGGTCCTGAGGTACTGGGGGGGGACGTATGGTGGTCCTGAGGTACTGGGGGGGGGGGGGGGGGACGTATGGTGGTCCTGAGGTACTGGGGGGGGACGTATGGTGGTACTGGGGGGGAGGTATGGGGGTCCTGAGGTACTGGGGGGGGACGTTTTAGGGTACTGGGGGGAGGTATGGGGGTCCTGAGGTACTGGGGGGGCGTATGGGGGGTACTGGGGGGGAGGTATGGGGGTCCTGAGGTACTGGGGGGGGACGTTTTAGGGTACTGGGGGGGAGGTATGGGGGTCCTGAGGTACTGGGGGGGCGTATGGGGGTACTGGGGGGGGATGTATGGGGGGGCGTATGGGGGGTCCTGGGGTAATGGGGGGGCGTATGGGGGGTCCTGGGGTACTGGAGGGGATTTATGGGGGTCCTGAGGTAATGGGGGGGGACACGTATGGGGGTCCTGAGGCACTGGGGGGGGGACACCTGGGGGGGGACACGTATGGGGGTCCTGAGGCACTGGGGGGGAATGTATGGTGTCTTGGGGTGATGGTGGTCAGTCATTGGGGGTTATTTTAGTGTGGGGTGTATTTAGCAGTTATTATTATTGCTATCTGTGGGGTATGTTGTGGGATTGGTGGACAGAGCTCTGACAGGGTAAGTAGGTGATGATGGCGGTAGGTGTATTGCTGTAAGGGGGGGGCTCGGTGAGCGTATTGAGGTCGGTGGGGGGGGGGCTCGGTGAGCGTATTGCGGTCGTGGTGGGGGGGGGGGGGGCTCGGTGAGCGTATTGCGGTCGTGGTGGGGGGGGGGGGGGCTCGGTGAGCGTATTGCGGTCGTGGTGGGGGGGGGGGCTCGGTGAGCGTATTGCGGTCGGTGGTGGGGGGCTCGGTGAGCGTATTGCGGTCGGTGGGGGGGCTCGGTGAGCGTATTGCGGTCGGTGGGGGGGGGGGCTCGGTGAGCGTATTGCGGTCGGTGGGGGGGGGCTCGGTGAGCGTATTGCGGTCGGTGGGGGGGGGGCTCGGTGAGCGTATTTGCGGTCGGTGGGGGGGGGGCTCGGTGAGCGTATTGCGGTCGGTGGGGGGGGGGGCTCGGTGAGCGTATTGCGGTCGGGTGGGGGGGGGGGGCTCGGTGAGCGTATTGCGGTCGGGGGGGGGGGGCTCGGTGAGCGTATTGCGGTCGGTGGGGGGGGGGGGGGGCTCGGTGAGCGTATTGCGGTCGGTGGGGGGGGGGGGGGGGGGGCTCGCCTCGGTGAGCGTATGAGCGTTTAGAATGCGGTCGGTGGGGCGGTCGGTGGGGGGGCGCGCGCGGCGGCTTGGTGAGCGTATTGTGGGGGGGCTCGGTAAGAGTATTGCGGTCAGTGGGGGGGCCTCGGTAAGAGTATTGCGGTCAGTGGGGGGGCCTCGGTAAGCGTATTGCGGTCAGTGGGGGGGCCTCGGTAAGCGTATTGCGGTCAGTGGGGGGGGGGGGGCGGCTCGGTAAGCGTATTGCGGTCAGTGGGGGGGGCTCGGTAAGCGTATTGCGGTCAGTGGGGGGGGTGAACCTATCTATACACATAGTTTGCCGTCTTGTTCTGGGGATGAACATGTCCTGTTCTGTATAAGTTCTGGCAGCTGCCTCTGCGTTTCCCGTGGTTCTGTGCTCTGTCCGGGACGCCCGGAGATGCGTGTGCTGCACAATGTGGGTTTCCATAAGTCCTTGAATAAATAATGCAGACTGTCTGTGTTGCGGCTCTATAGTGACACGGAACACGTGAGTGGAGTTTTGCAGCAGTTTGCTTGGTAGAGGTTTGTATTGTATGTGTCCGGCGCTCACGCTGTGTCCTCTGACCGCATTCCAGGGGTTACTATGTGAAGCCGCACAGTTGGTTTTGTTATGTAATAATTGTGACTCCCCTGCAGAGGATCTGACTGCAGGTATTGCTCGGCTACATAGAAGGGATTCTATACATCTTGCTGTGCGTTTTAAAGTGATTCTAAAGGCTACAGTTTTAATTTTTTTTTTATAGAAAAAAAAATAAACATGTCTCTACTTACCTGCTGTGGTTTTGCACAGAGCAGGCTGGATCCTCCTCTTCTCGGGTCCCCCGCAAGCTTTCCTTGCCCCTCCCTACTGTGCAAACCGCTTGCTATGGGGGCACCCGCTGCTCCGTGTTTTCATTCACACATGGAGCCATGGCTCGGCCCTGTCCCTTCTTTTTATTAGCTCACTGGCTGTGATTGACAGCAGTGGAAGCCAATGAGAAGAGGGAGTCCCGGGATAGCTGAGACTAGTGCATAACACTGGATTGAGAGGGGGGCTTAGGTGAGTTTTAGAGGAGGCTGCTGCACTGAGAAGGTTTTTTACCTTCATACATAGAATGCATGAAGGTAAAAAAAAAACCTTGAGGGCCAGTTCACGTTACATGTTTCATTTTTTTTTTTTTTTTCTGCATCCAAAACGCACAGGTTATATGGTTGTCATAGTTCACACCAGTGCTTGCAGTTCCAGGGCGTTTTGTAGAACAGGCTGCATTTTTTCCTGCACAGAACTGTACTGGAACGCGGTTAAAACGCATCAAGAACACACTGGAACGCACTTGTCTCTACTTAAAGCGGAGTTCCACTCACCTATCAAAAAATAAGTCAGCAGCTACAAAAACTGTAGCTGCTGACTTTTAAAAAACAGCCACTTACCTGTCCCTCGGTCCTGCAGTGTTTCCCCCGCAGCCCGTTTCACCGGCTGTCCTGTATTCCAGGAGGCCGGCATCTTCAGTGTGGGCACCCGGCTGTGATAGCTTCATAGTTGGGTACCCACTGCACATGTGCGAGTAGTGCTGCACTTCATGAATGGTCCTGTAGTCTTCTGGGACCTGTCACGTGTTCCAAAAGACTACAGGGAGGGAGGACACCTACCTAATGCCTAGGCGATTGGACCGGAACTGGGAGCGGGTACCCGCAATCCCTCCGCTCCCCAACCGTGCCAATCCTTAATGGGGAGCGAGGAAGCAGTACCTAAAACAGAACTTCCCCTTTTGGGTGGAGCTCCTCTTTAAATAGGAGAGAGGGGGGGAAACGGAATGCGCCAAAAACTCGTCAAAAACACGTGTGCAGAACGCATCTGGACTGCGTTTCTATAGTGTGAACCATCCCTGAGACTTTTGAACCACTTTAACTGCAGACTGGCAAACCACTGTGTAGGGATTGCACCCAGTTAGTCAGGTGCTCCTCTACTTGTTCCTGCCTGGACAGTGTATCTCGGGCCAATTCACATCTATGCACAGGTAGTGCAGCCGTCTGACGTCCCCCTGCTGAGTCAAAGATGGTGCTGATTGTACGTCTCCAGCGATCGTGCAGCAGTGGGTGTGTTAGACCCAATGCAGAGAGACCACTGCTTCCAGGGAGCGAGGGTCTATCTCTGCAGCATGCCTGCAGGGGACAGTTTTTTTCTAAGGAAAGTGAACTGTAAGGTCAGGTTCATGTTTGTGCTGTAAAACGTGCGTGTTAACCTGCCTTGCTTTAAAGGATAAGTTCACCTTTTTAAAAAAATATTAAAAGCACTTTTTTTGCAGGTAAAGCAATCAGGAAGGAATTTTGTTCCCTTGCAGGAGCAAATTGGATCATGCTTTGCTGGGTTTTTTTGCCTTCCTCTGGATCAGGGGCGGACTGACAACTCATAGGGTCCCTGGGCAACTGGGGATCATGGGGCCCCTGTGTCCTTGCCCACACTCAAAACACACCCAAAAAAGCCTATAAAAGGTACCAGGGGCATTTTATAGGGCCCCCTTCTGACCCCGGGCCCTCGGGCAGTGCCCGAGTGCTCGAATGGTCAGTCCGCCCCTGCTCTGGATCAATCTTGGGTATAGGATTATAACTTTTTTTTTTTTTTTTTTTTTTTTTAATAATGGTTGAACTGGAGGGACTTTTGTCTTTTTTCAGGCAGAGTAACTATGTAGCTACCATTGTGCTCACCAGCGCCTTCATAGTTCATTAAGAACTACAAGTCGTCAGCTGCAGTGGATGATGGTCCTTGTAGTTCATTCACTGAATGAATGATGTATGTAGCCCGGTGGGCAGAGCCCTGCACAGCTGCTTTTTTTTTTTTTTTTTTTTTTTTTTTTTTTTTTTTTAAATATATATAATACATTTTTTTTCTTTTATTATTATGACTGGGTGCAGGGAGAAGATCCCTGGCCCACTGTCACATGGGAGAAAAGGGAGATAGTGAATATTGTTACACCTTTACGCCGGCCGCACACAAATTTGCGGCCTCCCGGTGTCTGGGCCTAGACGCCGAGTGGCCGCACATTTGCGTCCAGGTAAGAAAAAACAACATATGTGCTGAGAGCGCACACCCTGCGCGCTCCCAGCACACATGTCCGGTACTCACGGAAAGGTCCCGGTCTGCTCTTTCGATCGGGACCTTTCCTGATCATGTGACCGCCGTGACAACATGGCGGTCACATGATCCCTAAACCCTGAAACTTTTAAAGGGCCAGTAGGCGCCGGCGGGAAGGGGTTAAATGCGGGTGCAACATGTTCCCAAAGGTGAACCTATCCTTTAAAGTAGAGTCCCCAAACATAAAATGCATAAGTG